TCAACTTTTTAACAATGAAATCTTTACCGTATGGATGATAATAAAGCAGCATTTTAAAAGTCTTGGAGTCTCCGTAGCCGATATAAGAACCGTGCTCGCCGAACGCTCAGGAGAGCGGTCCGAGATAGTAACGTTCAGGCAGCAAAAAAATGTAGTTAGAGACATCGGATCTTTTTGAAATTTTAACACAATATTTCTACATATATATACATTCGAAAAATGTAAAAAAAAAAAAAATTTTTTGAAAACTGCAGAGTAGAAGGTCCCCTTAAGACTCAATTTAACAAACCCAACAACTTTTATATCGGTATCTTTTATAGTTTTCTTGGAAAAAATTCACGAAAATAGCCTTTTTTTTAGGTGCTTCGAGTAGAACGTCCCCTTAAGAACAGAGAATGACTGACCAAATAAACGAAATTTCATTTTTTTCATTGCTAATCAACGAGGTTTAAGATTTCTGCGAGTGTATTGGACATGTAAAAGAGAAACCATTTCCGAGCATACATATAAGACAGCAGTAACAGCCAAAAATTCCACGAGCGCGCATTTGCGTCCATAGTCTATTTCGATGGCTTGCGTCGGACGTATATTTGAGCCCATAGGCCACACCAATAGTTTCCGCTAGACGAACATTTGCGCCCATAGCAGTCAAAGGGTTTACTTCTGGAAATCTTATGGCAACATCATGGATCTCATCGTCTGCTTGTACATCTTCACGACATAGTTTTTTTTGACAAATCATCATAATTTTCTTAATGTCAAGTCAAATTCGAATTCCTTACGAAGTTCTAAAATATGATTTTTTTCATTTTCGTCGTAAATGGTAATAAATTTCATCTCTTAAATAATGTCAGTTTATTCATTTCTTACTCATAAATGTAGGATCACCATTTCCCTTTTATTCTCATTGAAATCTGAGGCTGTCATAATTTCTGTAACGAATAATGCGGTTGTTGTTTTCGACGAATTTACATTCCTTGTAAATTTTTAATATAATTAATAACAAATTGTGAAGTGATAATTCTTCTATTTCTTCTGACCGCTGCTCTTATTTGACAAACCGTTTTTCTTCCACATATTTATTGAATTCTCATCTTTATTTAATTTGTCAAATTCTTTTTGTATTCGTCTAATACGCTGTCATTTCATATGGTAGAGATATAAATTACAGAGACTGATCTTTTGGACATAGGTTCACAAAATAGGTACCATGCTGCTTCTTGACTCATCCATTCAACAGTATTGATCATATTAATACTTATTGTCCTTGTTATTTCAATTATGTTGAATTTTGGGTGCTCATTCATTATTTCAATAATTTGGCACTGTAAACTGCAAATACCTTTATTAGTTTTATTAACGTATTCAATAACGTACGCGGCACAAGAGTACTCCTCGATAATAAACTGCATATCTGTATTAGACTTTAATATATTAAAAATGAAAAGATTGAAAGGGTTGTGCCATTTTTCTCTTGGTTGTCGTTTTAAAAATACTTTAGGTCTAATAATTCCTGTTTCATGAATACTTAAGTAATCTTCATCATTAGAAATGTTATATTCCGCATATTCCTAGCATATCGGTTTTAACACTTTGTTGACTGGTCCCGAGTTAACTCGTGTTTCTGTGGCCGAACGTTGCTGACCGGTCACAAGTTAACTCGTGATGCGCTTTTTTTTTGCATCACACTATTTAAAAGGAAAACGTAGCGAAAATAAATATTACAATAATAACAAATTTCTTTTGTATTATTGTTATATTGTTTATCATACGAAGAAATATTTAAAGTCTAATAATAAGTAAAATTTATTAAAGATTACTTATATTGTTTTACTTTTCAATTTAATTACGAAGTAATAGCCGGTGACTTGAGATAAATTCTTAAAAAAATAGCCAGTCAACAAAGTGTTAATATTGTGGTTTATTTACATGGCATGAATGGAGTAGTATCAAATCGACATTTCTGAGGTTGATGGGCGTTTATTTTCTTACAGCAAGTAAATGTATGTTTATAACTTTGTATTTAATATATCCAGAAGCCTCTGTTGAAGAAACAGATATCAATTGATCGATCATCATTATAGCATTTTGTTTTTCTGCACCAAGAGCATCTACTGGAGCATCATTCAGCCATAATAAAATGTGTACATGAAGACTAACACGATGTTGGAATTCAATTCGTTTAAAATAATTGACAACATGATAATTTCCAAATGAACTATAGCTCTTCGATTATAGAATATTCAATACTACATTGACTATTTTATTGAAATATATAGCAAAATTGAAAAGTGTAGTCTTAGATATATAATCCAGTGACGCAGCTGCTTCTGTGAAAATTTCATCTCCCTTATTTTTTAATTTGTACAGTAATTGTAGTAAATTATTCCATTCGATTTAATTAGCACTTAAAGTAAGAAACATAGTAGGTTTTCCCAATTGTCGAATCATCGCAAAAAGATCTATTTTACGTTTACTCCAATACCAAACAGAATTAGATATTGATCACAGAAAAGCTAAATTGCTTTTGATACAATTATTAATATACTCGCGTCTAATATTTAATCTGCTGCTGTATAATATTCGTATTTTTTCTCACTTGCTTGAATGCAATAGTTAGTGAATCACGAACTCTTAACCTCATAATTTTCATAGCAACGTATAATAAATGATACGGAGTAATAGTTCCACGCCGATCTGATTCCGTAATTCACTAGTCATTATTTTGAATTCTGTTGCATTTTTTCAGTCTCTGAATGTTCGGAAATAGCCCAAATTAATCGATGGGAAAGAAAGTTGTATGTTCATTAAAAATAATATTTTTTAGAAGATTATAATGCCCAGGCGCAATCCGTAAACACTCATCATTATTCCACATCAGAATCTGTTGTGCTATTTGACTGTCTTCGATCGTTATATCATCACTTATTTCTTCTCGATAAATTTCACCAATATTATGATCATTTTTGAAAAAACTTTTAATTATTTTAATATTGTAGTATAGATAAAGTGGAGTTTGAAACAATCATTGAAGTCATGCGCGAATTGTCTTTTTATTTACCAATCCCACTAAGTAGCTCGCAATGATCATCATCAATATTGCGAGGTAAATGTTTCACCATATTGTCCACCTCGACTGGTACATTAACCCTTTCGCTACTACGAGCGACTATAGTCGCTCTCCATGTGATGCCACTCAGGTACTACGGGCGACTATAGTCGCTTTCCATGTGATGCCGCTGAGATACTACGAGCGACTATAATCGCTCCCGCTAAAGATGTCGCGTAATTGTATATATGATAAGCGCCTGCAGTTGCTATGCACAGAGTATCTCACTCTAGACATGCCGCGTAAGTCTTTCGTTTTGCATTATTTGTTTTTTACGGGCTTCAATAATAAACCAAATGCCTCGATCATAAGTCTTACGACACCGGCTCGAACGTTGCGTGCACCGTGCACTGTTTCGGTGTAGCGCGCCGTACTGCGGGAGTACCGCGGCGGAGATCCGCCCCGTAGCGAAAGGGTTAATAATTTGACCATACATTCCGTCCGTATTGTCCATGGACGTGTCGCAACCGTCTAATTTGCATGAATGAAATTCACGCAGATACAAATCTTTCGGAAATTAAATCCAGTGGTGGTGAAGACGCAGGTATATTTTGATATTTGAAACCATTGTATTTGGACATTATTGAAATTACATTCTTCTCGATTGATTGGTAAGACGTGTTGCACAGTAAAATATCTTCATGTTTTGCGCATGGTAGTTGTAAATTTTTTTGGAACACAATCGATCGCAAATGGAGTCGTATAACCGAACATATTGTTCAAAAACATTTTGTGAAATTCTTCATGGGCTATTTTATTTCTTCAAAATTGTTAGTACACAATATCAGGATGTACATCCTCTTGAGTTACCTAAAAAAAATTCACAATATTTTTTGAGAAGCATCTAAAAAATAGAGAATAATGAAAAATGTTTTAAACCTGATGCATGAAAATTAAACATGTGATGAATAAGCAATAAGGATTAAAAACGAAATATATTAATTAGAAGATATTTAAATACTTACTATGATCGTTTTCACTATTTTCTACAAAATACTCATTATTAAAAGTATTTAAAAAATGATTCTGAAAATGTCATATAGCCTTTCGGCGTTCACAATATTCTAGAACACTTTCGATTACAGTCTTTGCAACCTTCTTAACCAGTTAAGTGCGTTCGACGTGTATACACGTCGGACCAAATCTCTACTGCGGTGCGTTTGACGTTTATACTCGTCGTGTAAAATAAAAAATTACCATTCACTATAAAAAAAACTCGAAATCTCAATAATATATAATAAGAATATTATTTGGTGGAATATTTCCTTTATATTACCAATACGACCTCTATGTATTTTATTTATATTTATTTGATTTATTTTTATTTATAAGATGTGCCGTTTGCTCCAAAAATGGAACACGCAAGGAAACAAGGTTTTGGTGTACGACCTGTGAAGTCGCACTTTGCGTAGTACCGTGCTTTGAAACATATCTCAAATACATAACTTGAAATATTGTAAACTATTTTCTTATTTTTCTTGTTTATTCTTGCTATCTTCAATTTTTCTCGTTTATGTATTTTATTATTTTTTGACAATTTTCAAGCTTTTAGTAAGAATAACGTATTCAGAAACGAATTGTTAGTTTTTTTGACGAATAAAATTGTAATACTTCCTCGTTTTTCGTATAATAACGAATATTAAATGTATAATAATACTATTTGCCCTGCGTTCGACGTGCATACACGTCGTTACTTGTTTTTAATTCCGCATCCTGTGGTGATCTTTTGAAACTAAATTCCACAGTCAACTGGTTAACATTTTGCGGTCGGTGTCCCCGTATCGGGGACATTTTTAAGTTGTTGTAGAAAACCGCAAAGAGTTAAAAATTTTATATTCTTATATGTATATTATAAGTAATATTAAATACAACAAATTAGTTTCAACAGATTCTGTGTGCTTTAACCCTTTCGTTACGAGCGCCGGAATTAGACGGCCTCCACTCGACGACCTGTGTATACGAGCGCCGGATCTAGACGTTAGCTCGGCGGAGCGGTGCCTCGTATGGTGGCGTTATTCCCGCGGAGCAGACTGTCGTAACGAAAGGGTTAATATCCATATATTAACTTCAAATCCTGTACGGAAAAGTAATTGCGAAACAATAGATTTGCTCCGACCTGCTAGTACTCCCAAAAGCGAAATCTGCCGATCGCAAAGGGTTAATCTTGTTTTTTCGTTTTTATTGCCGATATCTACGACATATTTTGGTATGGGTTAGTTTCAGTCGAGAGTTACTTGAAATACAATTCATAATATATCCACTTGAGAGTCATGTGATAAGAAAATAATAAATAATGATTTAAACGTGATGAATGAAGATTATGAATGTGATCTATGATCAGTAAGGATTAAGGACGAAATATATCGATTAGAAGATATTTAATTACTTACTTATGATCATCATTTTCACTATTTTGTATAGTTGAGCCATTACTAGACGCATTTAAAATATTATTCTGCATATTTAATAACGTCTCTTGGAGTACAAACGTAAGAACACCTTCCGTTGAAGTATCTAAAAGTTCCTCAATGTCCTTTTCCTCTTGACATTGCCGATAGCTACAACACTTTTCGGCATCAATTAGTTTAGCTTGAGAATCACTTGAAATACAATTCACAATATCCATTTGAGAATCATCTGAATAAAGAATAACAAATAATGATTTAAACCTGATGCATGAAGATTATGCATATCATTAGTGAGCAGTAAAGAATAAGAACGAAATATATTGATTAGAAAACATTTAAATACTTACGATAATCGTTTCCACTATTTATTAGAGTGCAAGCATTATTACACGCAATACAAGCATTGCTTAACACATTTAATAACGCTTTTTGGCGTGCACGATATTTACGAACACGTTCTGTTGAACTCTTTGGAACCTTAATAATTTTGTTTGCTCGTTTTTTTTGCCAAAACCTACAACAGCTTTCAGCATTAGATAATTTTGTTCGAGAGTTACTTGAAATACAATTCATAATATATCCACTTGAGAATCATGAGAATAGAGAATAACAAATAATGTTTTAAACGTAATATATGAAGACTATGAATGTGATTTATAATCATTAAGGACTAAAGACTAAATATATCGATTAGAAGATGTTTAGTTACTTACTTATGATCATCATTTTCAATATTTTCTACAGTTGACACACTATTCAAAGTATTTAAAAAATGTTTCTGAAAGTCTAATAACGCCTTTCGGCGTTGACGAAATGCGCGAACACGTTCTGTTGAATTCTTTGGAACCTTCTTAATCATGTTTTCTCGACATCTAGGATAGATTTCGGCATTAGGAAGTGTAGATTGAGAGATACCTAAAAAAAATTCAAAATATTTACTTGAGAATCATTTGAATAGAAAATAACAAATAATGTTTTAAACGTTACGTATGGAGACTATGAAAATGTGATTTATGAGAAGTAAGGATTAGGGACGTTACATATATTAATATGAAGATATTTAATTACTTACTATGATCGCTTTTAATATATTCTATATTTACACATTCACTTAAACTTCCTGCAATCGTCTTATTCTGGTTTTTATGTATATCTTCAGAACCACAACTTTCTTCCTTAATTTTGTTTTCCTGCTCATTTTCATGACACCTTTCGTCATTGGTTATATTTGTTCGAGATTCACCTAAAACAAAATTCACAATAATTATTTGGGAATAATCTGAAGAAGAGTGAATAACGCATAATGTTTTACACGTGATGTATGATGACTATAAAAATGTGATTTATGAGAAGTAAGGATCAGGGACGTTCCATATATTGATATAGACTACAGGCCCGACCTAAAAAATCGATGGGTCATATATGATCCCGCAGGAGACCTGTATTGGACGATAGAAGGGCATAAAATAATAATTTTTAGCACCATGCCGTGACACTTGTAAGCTGTCTAACTGAATGCAGGTGAGAATTAAAAAGCACAAAATAACCGGGTGCTTTTTTATCAAATGATTTTTTACGGCATTCTTACCACCTATAGATCCATCGAAAATAATGAGAAAACACGTAGTGCCGTTAAAAAATAGTAAGCCACAAAGTCGGAAAAAATTTTTGATTTTCTGACAAAACCCCGGGTCTATTACATCATTTGATTATTAACGGCGTTTGTTTCATACAATTTAAATACCTATTCTAATTGATTATTCCGCAACGCCGTGAAAAAATCATGCAACAAGGGAGAAAAATCCAGGGTTAAAATCCACCTTTTTCCACGGGTCTGGGGGATGATCTGATACTACATAAAATTAATTTANGTTTTGGAATACTAGCTCCATCGTATCTCACGAACCAGTAAACCGATTCTTATAAAATTTAATCCACATATTCTACACATGAGCTGTAACAAAGTGACGBWDADTYTYTTCTTATATTTTAATTTTTACTATTTATTTTTAGTCAAAAACAATGAAAAAAAAGGTCATATTTACGTTTTTTTGTAATTTGTCCACCATTTTTTTATTTATTGATAAAAATTTTATATATTACTGTCACTTTGTAACTGAAGTCATACAGAATATAAAACCATTTTACTTTTATGTTTCAGGTAAGCCATTCTCAAGTTCTGATGGAGCTACCAAAGCACTAAAGTTTTAAGGTGTTTTTTTAAACTACTGTTTTTACAATAAAAAATTAATTAAAATGAAAAAACAAAAATTCATTTATATAGTTTAAGGGGACCTTCTACTCTGAGCACCTAAAAAAAAGGCTATTTTCGCGAATTTTTTCCAAGACAACTATAAAAGATATCGATATAAAAGTTGTTGGGTTTGTTAAATTGAGTCTTAAACTATATAAATGAATTTTTATTTTTTCATTTTAATTAATTTTTTATTGCAAAAACAGTAGTATAAGAAAACACCTTAAAACTATAGTGCTTTGGTAGCTCCATCAGARCTTGAGAATGGCTTACCTGAAACATAAAAGTAAAATGGTTTTATATTCTGTATGACTTCAGCTACAAAGTGACAGTTTTATATAAAAATTTTATCAATAAATAAAAAAATGGTGGACAAATTACAAAAAAAACGTAAATTTGACTTTTTTTTTCATTGTTTTTGACTAAAAATAAATAGTAAAAATTAAAATATAAGAAAAAACTCTCCGTCACTTTGTTACAGCTCATGTGTAGAATATGTGGATTAAATTTTATAAGAATCGGTTTACTGGTTCGTGAGATACGATGGAGCTAGTATTTCAAAACATAGTTTCGAGATAAACGCGTTTAAAGTTTTTTTCTACTCAAAATCGTGAAAAATTCTTACCTAAACTTAATCTGCGATGCCTGGACCGTACAATAGACCTTCTTCTTATTCATATTCTTCAATTTCTTCCAGTCTTGCCTTCTTCCACTTTGAACTGGCATCTTTTGAGCACTCAAGGCTTCGACGGTTCGCAGATTCGATACGTCGGTYGTCGCGTCTTTTAGCAAAGTCGATCGCTCCTGGCCCAATTTTCATGCCCATCGTTTCCTTTATCTTCATAACTGTTCGGAATCCTTCGTTGAAGATACATGCCGAAACTTTGCACGCAATTTCAACAACTTTTTTGCCGTTAAACATGTGTTTAGGTGCCATGTGCCTTAGATTTGAGGTACTTTNTTAGCAATATCATGTTAAAAAACAAGTTGCCGTACAGAGTCAAATGATTTTACAGCTGTAAAAATCAAATATACGATTAAATTAAGTTAATAATTGATATACATTCAAAAACCAACAATTTTTAAACGGCATTATTTTAATTAGTACTTCTAAATGCTAAAAAATAAACTGAAATTGATGCCGTTGATTTTCAGATCATCCCCCAGACCCGTGGAAAAAGGTGGATCTTAACCCTGGATTTTTCTCCCTTGTTACATGATTTGTTCACGGCGTTGCGGAATAATCAATTAGAATAGGCATTTAAATTGTATGAAACAAACGCCGTTAATAATCAAATGATGTAATAGACCCGGGGTTTTGTCAGAAAATCAAAAATTTTTTCCGACTTTGTGGCTTACTATTTTTTAACGGCACTACGTGTTTTCTCATTATTTTCGATGGATCTATAGGTGGTAAGAATGCCGTAAAAAATCATTTGATAAAAAAGCACCCGGTTATTTTGTGCTTTTTAATTCTCACCTGCACTCAGTTAGACAGCTTATAAGTGTCACGGCATAGTGCTAAAAATTATTATTTTATGCCCTTCTATCGTCCAATACAGGTTTCTTGCGCGATCATATGACTCGATTTTTTAGGTCGGGCCTGTAGTCTAATATGAAGATATTTAATTACTTACTATGATCAATTTTAATATATTCTATTGTTACACATTCACTTGAACTTCCTGCAATTGTTTTATTCTGGTTTTTTTGTTTATCTTCATAACTGCACTGTTCATTCTGAATTATGTTTTCCTGCTCTTTTTCACGACACTTTTCGTCATTGGTTATATTTGTTCGAGATTCACCTAAAACAAAATTCACAATAATTAGTTGAGAATCATCTGAAGAATAGTAAATAACAAACAATGTTTTAAACGTGATGTATGATGACTATAAAAATGTTATCTATTAGCAGCAAGTATTAAGGACGTTACACATACTGATATGAAGATATTTAATTACTTACTATGTTCGCTTTTAATATATTCTATATTTACACATTCTCTTGAACTTCCTGCAATCGTCTTATTCTGGTTTTTTTCTATATCTTCATAACCACACTTTTCGACCTTAATTTTGTTTTTCTGCTCATTTTCATGACACTTTTCGTCATTGGTTATATTTGTTCTCGATTCACCTGAAACAAAATTTACAATAATTATTTGAGAATTATCTGAAAAATAGTAAATAACAAACAATGTTTTAAACGTGATATTTGGTGACTATGAAAATATGATTTATGAGCAGTAAGGATTAAGGACGTTACATATATTGATCTAAAGATATTTAATTACTTACTATGATCGCTAATACTGTTTTTTACAGTTGACTGATAATTAAGCGCATTTGAAATCTTATTTTGCAAATTTAATAACTGTTTTCGTCGTTCACGATATTTACGAACACGTTCAGTTGAAGACATTGGAGCCTTCTTATTTTCACAACACTTTTCGTTATTAATTAAATTTAATAACGCTTTTCGTCGTTCACGATATCTACGAACACGTTCGGTTGAAGAATTGGGAGCCTTCTTAATTTTTTTTACCTTCTTACTCTCACAACACTTTTCGTTATTTGTTAAATTTAATAACGCTTTTCGTCGTTTACGAGATTCACGAGAACGTTCGGTTGAAGTCTTTGGAACCTTCTTAATTATATTTACCTGCCCATTTTCACGATCCTTTCCGTCATCGGTTATATTTATTCGATATTCACCTAAAAAGAAATTCACAATATTTACTTGAGAATTATCTGAATAGAAAATAACAAATAATGTTTTGAACATTATGTGTGGAGACTATGAAAATGTGATCTATAAGCAGTAAGGACGTTACATATATTGATATGAAGATATTAAATTACTTACTATGATTGTTTGTAGTATTTTCTACAGTTGACTGATTATTAAGCGCATTGAAAATATTATTCTGAAGATTTAATAACGATTTTCGTCGTTCACGATATTTACGAACACGCTCAGTTGAAGTCATTGGAACCTTCTTAATCATGTCTGCTCGAGTTTTTGCTGGATATCTACGATAGGTTCGCACATAAGTAAGTGTTAGTTGAGAGTTACCTAAAAAAAATTCCAAATATTTACTTGAGCATCATCTGGATAGAAAATAACAAATAATGTTTTAAAAGTTATGTATGCAGACTATGAAAATATGATACGTGAGCAGTAATGATTACGGACGTTAGATTTATTGATTAGGAGATATTTAATTACTTACTATGATCGTTTTTACTATTTTCTACAGTTGATTGATTATTAAGCGTATTTAAAATATTATTCTGCCAATTTAATAAAGACATTAGTCGTTCAGGATATTCACGAAGATTTTCGGTTTCAGTTATTGCAATCTTCTTAATTTTGTTTTCCTGTTCATTTTTATGACAACTTTCGTTATTGGTTATATATGTTCGAAATGCACCTAAAAAAAAATTCACAATAATTATTTGAGAATGATCTGAAAAATAGTAAATAACATATAATGTTTTTAAACGTGATGTTTGATGACTATGGAAATTTGATCTATTAGCAGCAAGTATTAGGGGCATTACATATATTTATATGAAGATATTTAATTACTAACCAGGTTCGCTGTTAATATATCCTATATTTACACATTCACTTGAACTTCCCTCAATCGTCTTAGTCTGGTTTTTTTGTGTATCTTCATAACTGGATTGTTCGTTCTGAATTATGTTTTCCTGCTCATTTTCATGACACCTTTCGTTGTTGGTTATATTTGTTTGAAATTCACCTAAAAAAATTCGCAATAATTATTCGAGACTGATCCGAAAAATAGTAAGTAACAAATAATGTTTTTAAACGTGATGTTTGATGACCATGGAAATTTGATCTATTAGCAGCAAGTATTAGGGACGTTACATATATTGATATGAAGATATTTAATTACTTACCATGTTCGCTTTTAATATATTTTATATTTGCACATTCACTTGAAATTTCTGCAATTGTCTTATTCTGGTTTTTATGTATATCTTCATAACCACACTTTTCTTCCTTAATTTTGTTCTTCTGCTCATTTTCATGACACCTTTCGTTGTTGGTTATATTTGTTTGAAATTCACCTAAAAAAAATTTCACAATAATTATTTGAGAATCATCTGAAAAATAGTGAATAACAAATAATGTTTTAAACGTGATGTTTGGTGACTATAAAAATTTGATCTATTAGCAGCAAGTATTAGGGTCGTTACATATATTGATAAAAAGATATTTAATTACTAACCATGTTCGCTTTTAATATATCCTATATTTACATATTCACTTGAACTTCCTGCAATCGTCTTATTCTGTTTTTTTTGTATATCTTCATAACTGCACTGTTCGTTCTGAATTATGTTTCCCTGTTCATTTTCATGACACCTTTCGTTGTTGGTTAGATTTGTTTGAAATTCACCTAAAAAAAATTTCACAATAATTAATTGAGAATCATCTGAAAAATAATGAATAACAAATAATGTTTTAAACGTGATATTTGGTGTCTATGAAAATATGATTTATTAGCAGCAAGTATTAGGAACGTTATATATATTGATATAAAGATATTTAATTACTTACTATGTTCGACTTTAATATATTCTATTTTTACACATTCACTTGAACTTCCTGCTATCGTCTTATTCTGGTTTTTCTGTATATCTTCATAACTGCACTTTTCGTCCTTAAGTTGTAACATACTTTTTATTGTGAGCAGGTTACAATTCTTAAAATTGTATTGTTCCGGTGATAGTGATAAAGCTGTAATGAGAGGAAAACAGGAATAAAATGAAATAAGAAATAAAACATTTGATTTAGTCAATAGTAAATATAATAATTTTTTTGGCTCTTAAGAGAAAAGTTATGCTGCATAACAAATCTGGTTGATAAATTGGATATAACAATGAGTTGCGCCAAATTTAAAGATCGGACATTTTGCTCACCTCTCGACAGTTTTACTTGAATACAAATCCAATGACGATTCCTTGTTTTGTGATAAATGAAAAATGTTATGTTACTTCGTCTTTTTTTTCGTTCTTTGTTTCTGCTCTTTGGCGCTTTATTTGTAGGGTTCTTCGATGGTTGCTGAGATGAATCTTCGTAGACGTCCAATGAAAGAATAGGACGAATATCTTTTTTCATGGACCGTGCAAGGTATCTTTAGCAACGATTTGAAGAAGAATAGAGAGACATGATAAGAACACTTCGATATTCCCTAAATAATTGGAGACGCGCATTTAAAATATATTTTATCTAACCAGTGGATGGTCAGGTGTGCAACCGTCCGATCTTTATTCAAATTTGGTTTTGCTTGTAGTAGTCCATTAGAATATTCACTTTACCTTTTAAACTTGCCGTATATATTCTGCTGTTTGATAAAAAAGCGGATTGAAATTTCACATAGATACGTATTCGTTTAGCTGTAGTAGTGTAGTAGTTTACAATAGCGACACTGAATATATATCGCTGAAGTCGTGAAAAGTATTTTTTTCTTTTGTTTTTTCTTTTGCATTACTACATTTTCTCATGGACTACTACAAGTGTACATAATTTGAACAAAATCGAAAAAGACCTACCTGATCATCCCCTGGTAAGTATAAGAACCGTACAATCGTCCGTTTGTCAATTAAATCTTGACGTTGAAATTAATATTCTGAATCGTCCTCACGCTTACAAAAGAAAGCTACAATTCCTCTTCACGCAATTACATCAACTAAGCTTTACACTGGGAAGTTTTGAAAATATACTATAGATATGATCCTATAAATTAAGATCTTCAATTTTATAGGTGCACGAATTTTATGTATAGACAATAATATAGTTTTTTCTTGTGAAAAACGGGAACTTATCACTACAATCTAATGTCCAGTCAAAGACTAACTGGTGTTTTAAACTATGCTGCTTGAGATGCTATAAGTCTATGCTTCGTATACGCAGGCGCACAACACGTATAAACATATATACGAAGGAACACACACACACACAGGTGGAAAGCTGGGACCAGAGTAAGTATTAAACAGTGCAATATATATATATACACTCTATACTCTATATACGACGCCTTTTTTCTCGGTAGACTCGGCATTGCAGGCGTATACAACACACATCTTTACACGCTTAGTAGACAAGGGTGGGGACTACGAAGCATCGCATAAAGAGGAAACCGAAAATAGAAAAAACTGTATACTATATTCTATCTCATTCTCTCGCAGGCTAAATCCTATAGATGTATATATGTTTGTCTCGTTTTTGTAGTGAAAGCTTCTTTAGAATGGGGGTGATTTGAAAAAATGAAACGCGGCAATGTAGTGGGGCGATGCAGCGCGGCAATGAAACAGCTATGATATTAGGTAAGAAGAAAAAAGAGACACACATATAGGTTTATTGAGCCTGCAAGAGAATGAGACAGAATATAGCTATACAATTTTTCCTATTCTCGGTCTCCTCTTTATGCTCTGCTTCGTAGTTATCACTCCTAGTTGTATATATGTGAGTTTGTGTACGACTGCATCTACGAAGCGTGGACTCATATAATTTCGATACTAAACCTGTTTGTAGGTAGGAGGTAGGAGCGATAGAAGGGTAGAAGAATAAACAGAGATAAGCGTTAGGCGACAAAAGAATAAGGTACCAACGAACCGACGGTCGAAATAAAAAATCATACCCAAACCTTTGATATGTATGGTAACAATATAATGAATAAATCCTACAATTATCTTACTCTTGATACTCTGCATTTATCTCATTCTCTCGAAACTTAGTTTTTTGAAGGTTTCACTTTTAACACGTGTGATCTGCTCACATGATATTTTTTTTTTAGTACGATAAAACGTATACCGTTTGGAAAAGAAAACTTCTTTAAAATCGGGGTGATCTAAAAGCGGATGTAACAAAACACCGACAGCTCGCGATAAACAAAAAATCACACGTGTTAGAGGTGAAACTTTCAAAAATCTACGTTTCGAGAGAATGAAACGAATGCACAGTTTCAAGAGTAAGATAATTGTAGGATTTATTTATTATAATATTATTACTATATATAATAAAGGTCACCGGTATGGTCTCTGGATGGAATAGCTGATAAAAAGTGCACTTTTCACAATTCAAGCAATAAAAATGGAATGCTGAATGCGATAGTTATAAATAGTCACCAAAATCGTAGGATGTTTATCAAAGGAAATATAATTCGTCAGAAATAAGGTAAAAATAAATAATCCTTTTTTTGGAACTCAAGTATAAAATTTTTTTTGTCAGTATGGTTTTCTATTTCTTGTTTTCATCTACATTCTTGCACTATATAACAAACATTTTAGGATAGATGAAATAAAGAACGAAAAACATATGGAAAATACTGCTAGACTGAACGAAGGTTCTGGTAAAATGCAATGAAAGATCTAATAAAGATTTTCTCTAGAAATGTTTTTTCAACTCTGTAGCCTACCACACTTCGAGACCCTTATTATTTATAACATATCTCGTCTTTATTCTTTGGACCACAAACTTATCTTTCTAAATACTCTTGTCTAAATAAAGATCTGAACAACGAAAAATCTAAAAAATGCATTGAATCGTATCGCTCTCTCAGCTTATCGAACTGTGTACACTACGAGTCTCAAATTTAGGCCCCGTGGTAAGCTCCACCGAATCACGCTGGGCGTTCAACATCTTAAAAATGTTTTTATTTTATTGAAAAATTAGTATAAGATACTTAAATACGCAAATATCACAACTTATAATATAATTTTCATATATGCATGGGTCAGTACATCTATTTGGATATTTTTCATAAAAACATATAAAAATCAAATTTAATGGACATATTTTGTCTTTATGCATCAAATATATTTCATAAAGAAGCAAAATAAAAATATAAGAGTAATTTACTTGCTTTTGAATGGAATTTGTCAGCTGCTCCTAATATATTCTACAGTGTTCATTAATTCATTTTCTCTAATGTATCTGATAATCATTTAATTTTTGTGTAAAATATTGCTGACAATACAATTATTATATTCTATATATTTCATAATTGTTAATTATAATATTTGCGAAATAAATAATTTAATATTAACTTTTCAATAAAATAGAAACATTTTTTTTTAAATAGAAAAGAAATGACACGTTTGGTAAAATAAAAACAGACCACGCACCTTCTTTCTTTATTTCGACCGTCGGTTGGTTTAGACCTTATACTTTTGTCGTATACCTACGTGCTTATCTCTGTTTATTCTTCTACCCTTCTATCGCTCGTACCAACGAACATTTCGAGTATCGAAAGAATACGTGTCCACGCTTTGTAGTATGCAGTCGCACACAAACGCACACATATACAACCAGGAGCGATAACTACGAAGCATAGCATAAAGAGGAGACTGGGAATAGGAAAAACTGTATAGCTATATTCCGTCTCATTCTCTCGCAGTCTCAATCCTATATGTTTGTCTCTTTTTCTCTCGTTATTTAGTATAGCAGCCGTTTCATAGCTCCGTTTCCGTTTATTTACTTTTCAGATCACTCCCATTCTAAAGAAGTTTTCACTTCAAAAAGTACAGTACTGGATGGGACGAACGGATGCGTTTCGTCGAGCAAAAAAAAGAAAAAGAGATCAACATATATACATCTATAGGATTTAGCCTGCGAGAGTATGAGATAGAATATAGTATAGAGTTTTTTCTATTCTCGGTCCTTTATGTGGTGTTTCGTAGCTTTGTAGCCATCCCACTCTTGGCTACTAAGAGTTGGACATATGTGTGCTTGTGTGCGATTGCAAATTACGAAGCATTTACCATGGAGGAAAGAGGTAAGGAGTAACATCTCTTATAAAAGAAAATGTGAAAAAGTGTCCAGCGTTTTCTATAAATAATAGTTCAAAAACCTTCCAGAATGGCGCTGGTGCAGACAGAAGGTATGGTATGAATGTAGCAATAGTAAACGAATTGAAGTATGCCGAGTTAAGTAATAATGTAGTAAATATAACCTTAAAGAATTATTGAAGTGAAAACTTCTTTAGAATTGGAGTGATCTGAAAGAACTAGAATGAGAGAAAAAGAGACAAACATATAGAATTAAGCCTGCGAGAGAATGAGACGAACTATAGCTATACAGGTTTTCCTGTTTTTGGTCTCCTTTTTATGCTATGCTTCGTAGTTATCGCTCCTGGTTGTATATGTGTGTGTTCGTGTGCGACTGCATACTACGACAGAGATAAGCAGGTAGGTATGCGACAAAAGTATAAGGTCCAAACGAACCGATGGTCGAAATATAGAAGAAGGTGCGTGGTCTGTTTTTTTTTTTTTTTTTAAGTGAAAACTTCTTTAGAATGGGAGTGATCTGAAAAATAAATAAACGGAAACGCAGCTATGAAACGAAGCTATGTAACGAAACTATGTAACGAAGCTATGTAACGAAGCTATGAAACGGCTGCTATACTAAATAATGAGAGAAAAAGAGACAAACATATAGGATTTAGCCTGCGAGAGAATGAGACGGAATATAGCTATACAGTTTTTCCTATTCCCGGTCTCCTCTTTATGCTATGCTTCGTAGTTATCGCTCCTGGTTTTATATGTGTGT